ATCAACAGTACGTGAGTGTGTTTAGCTTTGGTCTGTTCAAACTCGGTTGTTGTTGCAGGGTTTATTTTGTAATTCGAGTGACTTTATAGAGAAAAGATTATCTGAAGTCGTACAGCGACCTTCGGACTTCGCAACCCACGCGAATGTGCGAACGAATCCTCTGAAAAGACAAGAGAAGGCTACACGTGACACGTGCTAGTGCTCGGGCCAAGGAGGGCCACATTTATTATTCAAACCCGGACAGGCACGAGCCTGCCTGAGGGCCACAAAGCCCTTTCGCTTGCGGTAATTGATTACGAGCCCCAGAACAACACCTTAATCCAACCATTACAGCATTAGTATGCAGCCCCATTCCAGACCCCTCCCTTCGCTATCAGTGCTGTGTGATTAACGACGAGAACGAAACATTTACAGATTATTGGCTTGAGCTATTCATTTGTGCTAAATACTTTGGTGTTCTGTATCTTAGCGACACGTGTCGTGACAACTGGTTGCCTTAGGTACAGTACTATTGTCATTTCAATATATATATATATCTAATTGAAAATTGGTATCAGTCTGAGGAACGGCGTTTATATCTGGTTGATGGGAAAACCCAGTTGAAACGTTGTTTGGGGTGTACAAGTAATGTTCCAACGGTAATATCATGGGGTGTACAAGTAATGTTCCATAGGTAATATCATGGAGTGTACAAGTAATGTTCCAACGGTAATATGGTGGGGTGTACAAGTAATGTTCCAACGGTAATATCATGGGGTGTAGAAGTAATGTTCCAACAGTAATATCATGGGGTGTAGAAGTAATGTTCCAACGGTAATATCATGGGGTGTACAAGTAATGTTCCAACAGTAATATCATGGGGTGTAGAAGTAATGTTCCAACGGTAATATCATGGGGTGTACAAATAATGTTCCAACGGTAATATCATAGGGTGTACAAGTAATGTTCCATAGGTAATATCATGGGGTGTAGAAGTAATGTTCCAACGGTAATATCATGGGGTGTACAAGTAATGTTCCAACGGTAATATCATGGGGTGTACAAGTAATGTTCCATAGGTAATATCATAGGGTGTACAAGTAATGTTCCAACAGTAATATCATGGGGTGTAGAAGTAATGTTCCAACGGTAATATCATGGGGTGTAGAAGTAATGTTCCAACGGTAATATCATAGGGTGTACAAGTAATGTTCCATAGGTAATATCATGGAGTGTACAAGTAATGTTCCAACGGTAATATGGTGGGGTGTACAAGTAATGTTTCATAGGTAATATCATGGGGTGTAGAAGTAATGTTCCAACGGTAATATCATGGGGTGTACAAGTAATGTTCCAACAGTAATATCATGGGGTGTACAAGTA